CGTTTCAAATACATCAGCTGAAGTTTTTGAAAGCAGTGCACCAAGTAGGAATTCTTTGGTAGTGACAGTGAGGATGTAATGACCGAACGGAGGTCCTGGCTATACCCTCCTCCCGCACAATTCAGGAGAAGCCAATTCCTGGAGGAAGATAATTTCTGTTTTCTTTTGTTCCAAACCTCAATCAGTTTGACCATCTCCTTAATATGTGATTCATCAAAATAGCCCTAATTTATCAGGAGTGGCTTCTTTGGCTAAACAATGGGCTAAGCACCCATGTTAAATCCATCAAGAGAAGGTTTTAGGCTGGGTGCAGTGGTTCACGCCTGTAATCCCCACACTTTGGAAGACCAAGACAGGCAGATCACCTGAGGTCAGGAGTTCAAGACCAGCCTGTCCAACATGGTGAAACCCTGTCTCTACTAAAAATACAAAAATTAGCCTGGCGTGGTGGTGGGCGCCTGTAATCCTGGCTACTCAGGAGGCTGAGGCAGGGGAATCGCTTGAGCCCAGGAAGAGGAGGTTGCAGTGAACTGAGATTGTGCCACTGCACTCCAGCCTGGGTGGACTGGAGTGAGACTCTGCCTCAAAAATAAATAATAAATAAATAAATAAAGAGAAGGCAGAGGAAGATAAAATACAGGAAATTTTCCAGCCTTTACAAATTGAACCTGATTTTGGAAATGATCCAGTGGCCCGATTTATTTTGAGAATGGACAGTAAGTTGTGCTGCTGGCACTGCAGTATTTGTGTCCTGTAGCATTTAATGACCTCTATCGTTGTGAAAATAAAACCAAAAGATGCTGTCTGAAGCTATATATACTTTACATTGCCATTTTCCAACTTAAGTATCCTTGATGTAAACAATGACAGGTGTCCTTAACCATAACTGTGGGATACATTTGCATTGATTCACATCAAAGGAAACCCATTGTAAACATCAGAACATGGTGACTGCCTGATCATTGCATATTACCTGCTTTACACAGTAGCACCCCTGGCCACCTGCACTTTTTAAATTGGCACAGGACTTAATGGCACAATTTGGTGTAAAAGGATTTCTTTTTTACAATGACAATTTTTTAAGTAACAGGAAGATATTTAAAAACAACTTTTCACTGACCCTGTAAGACTCATTCATAGGTGTCCCTAGTGTACCACTTACCTAGGGCTGCCATATCAAAGTACTACAAACTGAGTGGCTGAAAACTCCAGAATTTATTTATTTATTCATTCATTTTTTTGAGATGGAGTTTTGCTCTGTCACCCAGGCTGAAGTGTACTGGCACAAAAATGGCTCGCTGCAGCCTCAAACTCCTGGGCTCAAGTGATCCTCCTATCCCAGCCTTCCAAGTAGCTGGGACTATAGGTGTGTGCCACCACATCTGGCTAATTTTTTTTTTTTTTTTTTTTTTTTGAGACGGGATCTTGCTTCATCGTCCTGGCTGGAGTGCAGTGACACAGTCTTGGTTCACTACAACTTCCACTTCCTGGGTTCAAGCAATTCTTATGCCTCAACCTCTTGAGTAGCTGGGATTACAAGCACGCACCACCATGCCCGGTTAATTTTTGTAATTTTTTGTTTGTTTGTTTTTAGTAGAGATGAGGTTTCACCATGTTGGCCAGGCTGACCTCAAACTCCTGACCTCAAGTGATCGACCTGCCTCGGCTTCCCGAAGAGCTGGAATTACAGGCATGAGCCACCACAACGAGGCTCACTCAGCTAATTTTTTTTATGCTTTGTAGAGATGAGGGTCTTGCTGTGTTGCCCAGGCTGGTCTCAAAATCCTGGGCTCAAACAATTGTCCTACCATCGCCTTCCAAAGTGCTAGTTTTATGGGCATGGGACACCACACCTAGACCACCAGAAATGTATTGTTTCACAGTTCTGGGCCAGAAGCCTGAAATTGAGGTGTCTGCAGGGCTATCTATATATAGGGGAGAAATCTATAGGGGAGAATCCTTCCTTGCCTCTTCCTAGTTTCTAGTGGTTTGCTGATTATCTTTGACATTCCTTGGCTTGCAGTGGCCTGACACCTCTCCCTGCTTTCATAGTCACTCAGCACTTTCCTGTGAATCTCTGTCTTCACATGGCCATCTTCTCATAAGGACACCAGTCATACTGGATTGAGGGGCCTCTGTACTTCAGTATGACTTTATTTTATTTATTTATTTTTTTGAGACAGAGTCTCACTCTGTCACCTAGGCTGGAGTGCAGTGGTGCAATCTTGGCTCACTGCAACCTCCTCCTCCCAGGTTCAAGAGATTCTCTTACCTTAGCCTCCCGAGTTGCTAGGATTACAATCATAGAACACTACACCTGGTTAATTTTTTGCATTTGTAGTGAGATGGGGTTTCACCATGTTGGCTAGGCTGGTCTTGAGCTCCTGGCCTCAAGTGATCTGCCTGCCTCAGCCTCCCAAAGTGCTGGGATTACAGGCGTCAGCTGCCATGCCCAGCCTATATGACTTCCTCTTAACCAATTACATTTGCAGTGACCCTATTTCCAAGTAAGGTCACATTCTGAGATTAGGACTTCTGAAGGTTAGAACTTCAACTTAGCTTTTTGATGGTGATACAATTCAACCCACTACACCTGGGGTTCATGGATTTTGGGTTAAGAACGTGTTGAGACAGTCTGAGGGCAGCCGGGGGACCCTGAGACCAGAGGGTATGAAACCAGAGTACAGAGAAGGAAGTGGTAGCAAGACAAATGGAACCCATTTTGCTATTTCGCCCATAAATTTGGTGGGAATGATCTCTCCCTGCAGATTTGGGTGCAGGGACTTGAGTTACTGATGGCAATATTTGGCCAGTTTCCAGTTGAAGATGCTCAAGTTCCAGATTAGAGTCGAGGCTACAAAGGGAAGTTTGTGGTGGTGTCCAGGACACTCTCTGCTGACGCCATATGTTTGAAAATGTCTGAATTTTGTGCATAGACACACTAGCAGTATTTTCATAAGTGGAGTTACATAATTAGGGCATGGACTTGCATAATAATTAGCATGTGTAATTAGGCACAGACTTCTTGTCCTTTAGACAATCAAGACATCTAATTACAAAATTAAGATGTAATTATGTGGTCCAAGGTCTACATCTTTTTTTCTACCCATTAGAGATTACATTTAGAAAATAATTCAAAAAAAGTTGATGAAGAAATGAACATAGACAGTGATTTGAGGATGTTAAAGAAAGTGGTAAGTGGGCTGGTAAGTTGCCTTTGGTCCTTCCTCTCAGTTGTAAGGGGAATTATTTAAAACATTATAGTCCACTTGAAAGAATAACTTTTACCAACTGTGCTGTCAACCTTCGGTACTCACACTAATGAAGAGGAGTGTTGGTATGACTAATCCATGGCGTTCACGCGTGGCTCTTGAGTGTGGTTTGTAATCACACTTGAACATGGACCTAAATGTGATGTACTGGGAAGTCATTCAAACCTATTAATGGAGCCATCCGGTAGAAATCTTAGGACAGCTTGGGATAGAGGACATCCTGCCTTCCTGTTCTGCCCTGATTCTCCTTTGTGACCACTTTAAAAATCGACTCATTGGCCAGGTGTAGTGGCTTATGCCTTTAATCCCAGCACTTTGGGAGGCCAAGGCAGGGGGATCGCTTGAGGCCAGGAGTTAAGACCAACCTGGGCAATATAGAGAGACCCTGTCTCTACAAAGAATCTGAAATACTAGTTGAGAGTGGTGGCACATACCTGTAGTCCCAGCTACTTGGGAGGTTGAGGCAGGAGAATCACTTGAGCCCAGGAGTTTTAGGCTGCAGTGAGCCTCCACTGCACTCCAGCCTGGGCGACAGAAAGAGACCCTGTCTCTACAGAAATAAATAGCACACTGTTCAGAATAATGCAAACCAGCGCTTAAGCTGTGTTTCCTTTCCCTGAATATTTGAGTATTTTTATTTTAAGTACTCCTTATTGACTGCAGGTGGGAAAGATCAAAGACTATAGCAAATACTCTGTCCTTCAAAAAAGAGTGATTCTTATAGCAGTAATAGTTGAGTTTCAATACACACAGAAAGCTAGATTGTGCTGATAGTCTCCATGTTTTTCCTTGCCCTTAAATTGTGATTTGACTGATCTCTGCGTGATGCTAAACAACCAGTTTGACTCATTAATTTTGCTGAACTAACTGAACTTTTGACCTAATTGGCTGCTGGTTAGGGATCAGAGCCATATGTGCAGGTTTTTCTAAGCCAGTTCTGACTTTAACTGTGTTATCCCTCTGTTCCTATAAACTGTTGAAATACCGTAGTAATTCCCATGTTTTGACAACCACACGCTCTTCTCAGACTGCCGCTTTCTCCTGGAAAGTGGCACAGAAATCTGTCGGACCACGCTTCCTGATTTTTGGTTAAGAAAATATGCTTCCCATATGGTTGCAGGCCGAGAAAACAAAGACTTAAAGAGGTTGTAAGCATTTGGTGATAGGTCTTCTCCTCATGGCGCCTTCCCTCCGTTCCTATTTTTCATATTCTCTATAAGGCCAGGGAATGTGGTGAGGGACAAATTATGTGGGTGGCAGGGAGGGGTTAGTCTTGACCATGAAAGTACCCACATTTTCACAGGGAGCTTTTGCCATTCTTAGTTTTTTTTTTTTTTTTTTTTTTTACCTTGCCTTCTGAGCAATTGCTCATGATAGATTTAGAGGCAAAGGAAAGAAACTGGAGAGAGGGACATTTTTAAAACAATTTATTAAGAGGAATTCTAGATCAGAGATGGGCAGTTGGACTACATCGTCTCTAAGGCATCTCCGGCTCAGAGGTTTCAGGATTCCTTGATTTCCAGCTGGTCACTCAACAGGAGGTTGACTGGACTCCTATTCTACTCACTCAACTCTGGGCCTCTAATTTTTCGTTTCTTAAATGTGGTGACTGGAAACCTATTCTTTTGCCTTTACTTCCAGAGATCTCAGTACTTCCGGTTCCTAACAGAGCCTAAAGCATGAATGCAACTTCATCTCTCAGCTTTTGAAATCCGCTTTTCCCTCCAGGTACTCCACGTCAGCATTCTCAAGACTGGAGAAGTTAGGCCTCAGACATCCCAAGCCTTCTCCTTTTATTGGAAATTTGATGTTTTTCCGCCAGGTAAGAGCTGTCTTCCATTGGCATCCATCATAAAATATGCTAAGGGCCGGGCATGGTGGCTCATGCCTGTAATCCCAGCACTTTGGGAGACCGAGGTGTGTGGATCACCTGAGGTCAGGAGTTCGAGACCAGTCTGACCAACATGGTGAAACCCCGTCTCTACTAAATACAAAAAATTAGCTGGGCCTGGTGGCACATGCCTGTAATCCCAGCTACTTGGGAGGCTGAGGCAGGAGAATCACTTGAACCCGGGAGGTGGAGGTTGCAATGAGCCGAGATTGCCCCATTGTACTTTAGCCTAGGCAACAAGAGCGAAAATCCATCTCAAAAAATAAAATAAAATAAAATAAAATATGCTGAGCCCAGGACAGGCTTTCTGCATGAAACGTTGGTCTTGTCCAGGTCCCCACACCTCGAGTGGTAAAGGTATTCTGTGATGCCATGATCCCTCCTCTACTAATATGAATTTTTATGTGATGGCAAGAATCTATTTCTTACCACTATCAATATGTATTGAGTCCTGTCATCCATTCACTTACCCATTTCCCCCAAATACCATGTATTGAGTGTCTAAATACACAGACCCTAGAGTGTAGAAGAAGAGATTACTTGTGGCCTCAAGCGCACCGTCAAATGATGGCGTGCAACACCAGATGAGATACACCCTAGCACTAGATAGGGTAGTATAGACAGTAGCTGTGGTCTTCTGTCAGAGGAGAGGGTGATCTGTCAGGGCTACAATCATCCTAGGGAACTTCCTGAAGAAGGAGGTCCTTCAGGGGCTGCGGACATAGAGACGAGGATACACACACCAGGTGGGCGGCACCATATATGTGAGTGCACCAACATAAGAATGACGGCTCAGGTTGACCAGCAGCCTGGACTAACTAGAGGCCAAATGTTAGGGTGCACTGGGCAGTGTAGTTGGGTGAGAGAAAGGGGGACTAGATGCTTACAGGATAGGAAGGCAAGTGAAGAACTATTTGTGTGTTAACATTTTTGAGAAGGAGAGGGACTTTGAAATGGACTACACTCTGCAGGGAAGAAGAATATAGGTTAGTGCTGTAGAACCCAAATGTTGCTGAATCCCAGGGGTGAAGCCACGATGGCTCGGACTAGGAGGTGATAAGAGTGAAAAGAGATGGATAATTGGGAGCAAAATGAAGAACTCTTGTGACAAATTAGTGTAGAGAATTCAAGGCAAAGTGAGTGAAACATAAGTCTAAGCTTTGAGCCAGGGGAACGGGGAGAATGGCCGTGGGTTGTCGGAAATAAAACGTTGCGCAGGGGAGTGGTTCAGGGAGAAGATAAGTTTTTGCCAGAGTGACATGCCAGTGGAAATGGCCAGCAGACATTTGTAGATATAGGTCAGGACTTTATGGTCTACGGTTATTTTTTCTCACATTCGGTTTTCTCAGAAGCCAGATGGCTTGTTCAGATAAGTCACGGGGACACTGACTCCAGACCGAACACCAGGAGCCAGAAGACCCTGCATGGGAAGAACCACCAAGCCAAACAAAGGCAGGAAGACTCCATTTGGGACAATCCTGATAATATCTCTTCAGCGTCTCTAGAATTTCCCCATCCCTACCTCCGGAAAGGCTGGTCCTTGGCACTAGATAGAAAAGAAAGCTGCTCTTTCTGTCGTTTTCTGCTCCCACCTTCCTAATCATTTCTTTTCCATTCCTTTCTGTGTCCATCACCTTTTCCATGATTTGTCATTGTTGTTTCTGTCTTTCTAGTGTTTTTAAACACCTTCTCCTCTCATCTCTCTCTCTGGGGTGGGCAGTTCACAACTTTTAAGCTCACAAACAACAATCTCAATGAGGCTTCCTGTTAGCCCCCTTGAAACAAGTGTGAAGAAATTTTAAAGTGTCAAGATAGAACAACAAACCAGATCGGAAAGCTAAAGAAAATGCATTTCACACATTTCTGGGGGGAAACGATCAGTTGTATTCCGCGGAGTAATTAATTTGGTATTAACATTCTGAGGAAAACAGCGTAGCTGTCGATGTGAGGAGAACGCTATGCTCCCGCCTCTGGAGAGCCTCCACATATGCTCCTTTGCAGCCCGCCATCCTCACAGCTACAAGCCCTGCCAAGTTCTTTCTAGAACATAGTAATTTCGGTGACTATTTTTATATTCATATATGCTTTCCTTGATGTATGGCAAGCTTACACTGCAGAATTCAGTAGATTTAGTGGGAAAGGCATGTGTTTCCATGCAGGACATCCACACTTCTAACCCCTAACTTTCCACCTTCATTCCACCCCTTATGTATCTGCCACATACTCCTTTCTCACAACACAAATCTACCATTTGCCACCCCCCACCCCCACCCCAACTCATGAGTATTTTCAGGTCTAGTCCATTCCCACCACACAATGGATCTAGCATTTTCCACCCCTCCTTCAACCCAGCTACACTTCTTTCCCATTATAAAATGTGTCTAGCCAGGCACGGTGGCTCACACCTGTAATCCCAGCACTTTGGGAGGCCAAGGCAGGCAGATGACCTGAGGTCAGGAGTTCCAGACCAGCCTGGCCAACATGGTGAAATCCTGTCTCTACTAAAAGTACAAAAATTAGCCGTGTGTGGTGACACATGCCTGTAATCCCAGCTACTCAGGAGGCTGAGGCAGGAGAATCGCTTGAACCCGGGAGGTGGAGGTTGCAGTGAGCTGAGATCACACCACTGCACTCCAGCCTGGGTGGCAGAGCAAAACTCTGTCTCAAAAAAAAAAAAAAAAAGTGTCTAGCATTTTGTCTTATATATCTCAAACATGTTGAATTTAATTAAAGTTTAACTTGAATGAATCATGATAATTCAGAATTTGTGACAATTTTGATAGACTCAGTAGAAGTTACATATAGTGGCAGTAAAAAGGGCCATATGATAATGCTAAATCAAATTTCAGAGGGCAATGTTATAGTTGAGAAAGCAAACTTTTTGAATATTTTAGCAGCAAGTATTCATAAGTAGTTTAAGAACTGGTGATCTCTCCTGTCCAAGACTTTTACATGGCCATTTTTTAAGCCGTTTGTTTATTACAATATTTCAAAGTACTTGAAAGCAATGTAACTTCCATTCTTTTTTATTGTTTCTGTAATTGTGTTCTTGCTGTTCCAGATTTTTTTCTGAATAAGTTTGAATAATTGGAATTTTGCTTAATCTTATTCTTACTATAGCGCTGTGTTTTCTTCAGGGTTTCTGGGAAAGCCAAATGGAGCTCAGAAAGCTGTATGGACCTCTGTGTGGGTAAGAAGGACACTCAACATTTCTATTATGTACGATATTTTGATTTTCACATGTTGAACTGATATGGAAGAAATGCCAAGATTAGGAATTTGTATGTGTTTCTATTTTCCAAAGGGCCCACAAAGAGGGTGTCCTGCAGTACAGACAAGGCTTCTAGAGAAGACCCTGGGGTTGCCCATGGGGGAACTGTGCTGGCCTGAAAGAATACCACTTTCCAGGCTTTGCAGCCTTGCTGGGCCGAGCACATCATCATCTCCCCCTGCTGTGCTGAGGGTTGTTGCCACGGGATGTGGTGGCCCCCTTGCCTCAGAGCACAAACTGTCCAACTTGCCTTGATGGTGCGCAGCAGTTCATATCCCATGAGCGTATCTGAACCTTACTCAGACTCGGGTCCTTCAGCCCATGGGGAAAGTGTGCTGCCAGCAACATGACCGTGTAATTTATCACCCAGTCCAGTTCCCTTTTGAAAGTGAAAGGAAGTGCTATTAATAACTACCCCAGGATGACCGTGTCAACTAAGACTATCCCGGATATGCTGGGGCATATGGTCACCCTAGTTCTTGGCCGTGTAAAGTAATATAGCCCTTCTCTTTATTTTCCCTGAATTTCTCCTCTTTATGCTCCTTCGTTTCTAAAATTCCAGTTTCTGGTGAGCAAACGCACATTCAGACCACTTACTCTATTCAAGATTTAACAGGCTTGAATTGCATTGATTCTCAACATGTGTCTTCCCACACTGAAGTCCTAATCATTTCAGTCGGTTTTCACACAGCTTCTCCTCAGCCACTGAGCGATTTTTTTTGCAGCTTTTCCTAGACCTCTGGGTCAGCGATCACTTTTGTAGGTGCATTAAAGTTCTCCTGTGTTGCTGACGTACATTCCAATGGGCTCCAGTGATTTGGGGGTCCTGTCTCCATAGGATTCGTGATGTCTGTTCTCCTGATACCATGTTTGAAAGGGATTGGCTTGTCCTCTTTAGGGAAATGGCCCCACCTAGGAGGGCCATAGTTTCGGTCAAGTTCTTCTACCTACTTTTTGGTTTGCTATGTGGCCCTGAAAAAGTAACAAATTAAGATGTTAAGATGCTCTCTGTATTAGTCATTGCTGCATAATAGACTACCCCAAAACTCAGTGACATAAGCAACAATTTATGATTTATCATGTGTCTAAGCGTCAGCTGGAGTTGGCTGGCCTAAGCTGCACTTGGCTGGTTGGCTCTGCTGGACTTCTGGGTGTATCTGCTGGGGAGGTTTCATGTGGGTCACCAAGGCTCTGCATGTCTCTCATCCTCCTTGGAAGTGTAAGCTCGGCTGGCAGGTTCTCACGGTAAAGGCAAAGACTCAAGAGAGGAAGGCTGATGGTGCAAGAACATGATACATTTCTGCTGCATCATTTCAGCTTATACCCTATTGGTCAAACCAAGTCACATGGCTAAACCCAAGATGTGGGTAGGAGAGCACTGTGGCCACTTTGAAGCCAAAGCAAGGCACCTGGCCCAGTCTGACACTCATGGAGCAGGGAGGTGTACTCCTCGGAAGGATGAGTGGGGAGGCAAGGCATGTCTTTAAATAACAAGCAGCCCTACTGCACTCCCTAAGATCTCTTTCAACTTGGCCTTCACTTACTTTTTAATTTTTACTTTTTAGTGCATAACTTCTTGCTTTAAGTGGGATAGGTGCTCGATAAAGGCTGAAGAGAGTGAACTGTCTACCTTTCTCTTACCGTTGTGTGGTTCTATTGCTTTTTTGTTTTGTTGTTGTTGTTGTTTTGTTGTTGTTGTTATTTGTTTGTTTTTGAGATGGAGTCTTGCTCTGTCGCCCAGGCTGGAGTGCAGTGGCGCGATCTCGGCTCACTGCAACCTCTGCCTCCTGAGCTCAAACGATGCTCCTGCCTCAGCCTCCCGGACAGTGGCCTCCTGCCACCATGCCTGGCTAATTTTTGTATTTTTAGTAGAGACGGGGTTTCGCCATGTTAGCCGGGTTAGTCTCAGACTCCTGACCTCAAGTGACCCGCCCATCTTGGCCTCCCAAAGTGCTGGGATTACAGCGTGAGCCCCCGCGCCTGGCCTATTGCTTTTTAAAGCTTCTCATTCCAGCTCTTTCTTTCCAACAGTCTCATTCTGCAGCTGACTTGGCAATGACTTAGAGACTGTCTCATGTGCTTCTGAGACACAGCACTGACTCAGAATGACGGTGCCTTCACCAGAATCAGAAAAAGTCCTGACTGAGTTTGAATTCTAGGAACCACTTTTCTTGAGTGCTTCTTGTACAGATATCCAAAGTAGAGCCTTTGGGTATTTAAAAATAATTTTTAAATGCCAGATGAAGAGTTTAAAGGGCACTGTATGAACCAGTTGTGTGTGTGTGTGTGTGTGTGTGTGTGAGAGAGAGAGAGAGAGAGAGAAGGAGAGAAAAAGAGAGAGAAGGAGAGAAAGAGAGAAAATGACAGGGAGAGAGAAAGAGAGAGAAAAGGAGACAGAAAGAGACAGAGAGAGAGAGAGAGAGAAGGAGAGAGAGAGAGAGAGGAGAGGTGGAGCGAACTGGTTTCCTTGACAACAGGATATCCAATCAACTTTTTCCTCCAACTTTAACTAAGTTAACACAATTTATCCTTTTCATTTCAACAAAACCTAAATCATAGGGAATGATTTCAAATGAGGTTATAGAGATCAAAATTGCAGTATCATCTCCATCCTTTGTTCCCACTTCTAGTGAAAAGGAAAAAAGAAAGGTGATGGCATAATTTCTTCCTATAAAGCTATCAACTTTCCTCCTTTGGAAAAAAAAGATGAGCCATAAAATGCTGACTTCTTTTTAAATGTGTCTACTCCCAGATTTAGAGGCAATATGGTGGCGGTGTAAAAATGAAAGGGTTGAACCAGTCTAAGTTGAATGTCTTTTCTAACTCTAAATGTTATTTTCTTACTGCTTAAATTTTAGCAACGTAGTTTCACTGATTGGGAATGGACTATGCTCAATGAACAACAAAGACTCTTCTTGCAGAGAACAATTTAATTTAAATTACATTAGTTTTTAGGCTACTTTTATTACCAGGAAATATAATCAATCCCAGCTTGATCCTCTTAAAAACTGAAATAATAGATTGATTCATCATTTGACAAGTGAAATGCCACATTACACTGTTGATGTCATGTAGAGATGCGTAGGGCCTTTAGATGACAGCTTGGCACTGAATGTTGGGAGAAAAATGGGCAGGGCAAATCTCACTGCTCTAGACTGGAAAGCCAAATATGATGACAATGTATACTTATTATCTGGTTGTCACCCTAGCAACTCAGAGTTTGAGGCTCAAAACTGGAAACTGACTCCTTACTCTATCCCCTCCCCCACTCCCTGCCATGGGGACAATAGGGCTGGAGAAGGTTTCCATCAGGATGGGCAGATAACATCGATGCTTATCGTTACCACCAACACTGCCACCACCACCACCATCACCACCACCATCATCAAGAACAAAATATCTTCACCAAGTGTCTACTTATGTAGCCTGCTTTGCCAGGTTCTGTGTAAATAAAACTACACACGGTGTCTCTGCCTTCTTTGAACTTGAATGTAAAGCAGGAGGACTGGTGTGGATACCTATACAACTATTAGTCGTGGGGTACCTGGTAAAAAACTCTCCTGAATTGCACAGCAGCCTGGCCACATACCACAAAGAAGGCAAGGCTTTATTGCTTTGGATAACCTTCATTGATTAATGATTACTTGTTATCTCCTTCAGGCTGAGAATGAGCCCAAGTTGGATTTATATTCCCTCCCAAACTCTGTAAGAACAGAATCAACGTTATCATCATACATTGGTGATTGAATATGGTTTATATGCAATATATATCAATATTGAATATAAACATATATGGATATATATTCAATATATCCTGTTTGGATAGAGATTATATTCCCTCCAATTTGTAGCTGGACTTTGTAACCCAGTAGATGATAAGCCTTATTAATTACTTATAGTTAAGTAAGAATAAATACTTACACAGCACCCTAAGTTTAGATCATTAGCAACTCCTAAAGGCCCCCATTCAAAGCTCCTTTTCCCTTTATTTCATTGTTTTGTGTGTGTGTGTGTGTGTGTGTGTGTGTGTGTGTGTGTGTGTGTATGTGCATTGTTTTGTTTTATTTTGATTTTTTGAGGCAGAATCTTGCTCTGTCATGCAGGCTGGAGTGCAGTGACACGATCTCAGCTCACGGCAACCTCCACCTGCCAGGTTCAAGTGATTCTCTGGTGCCTCAGCCCATGAGGTTGCTGGGATTACAGGCATGTGCCACCATGCCCAGCAAATTTTTTTATTTTTGGTAGAGACAGGGCTTCACCATGTTGGCCAGGCTGGTCTCAAACTCCTGACCTCAAGTGATCCACCTGCCTCGGCCTCCCAAAATGTTGGAATTACAGGCATGAGTCAACATATCTAGCCTATTTGATTGTCTTTTAAATGTTTGCTCTATTGTTCTACTTTTACTTAGCCTCATCCCCGTTTCTTCTTCCCCCCACATCACTTTAGTTTTTATCTTGGCTCCCTCTTGTTGAACTTGACTTTCACACTTCCTGGCATCCATCACCTATGCCGCTCCATTTTGGGAAGTGGCACCTGCATCCCTGGATCCCTTCATGATGCTGGCCTTGTTGCATAACCTCATATACTCCCATCGGAGCATCACATTGTAGGTAGTAGGTAAGCATGAACTTTGTACAGAATTCATAAAGTACAAGTGAATGTAAGAAAAAAGTACACTTGCTCCCACCCTAGGGCCCAGCTGCTCCTTCACAGAGGCAACCTCTGTTAAACATTTCTTTATAGTCAAATGGATCATATATAATACATGCTGTTCCTTACCTTGCTTTGTTCATTAATGGTATTTAGGAAATTGTCTCATTTTGCTTCATTCATTCCTGTTAAATTATGTAGTATTTTTAAGGATTTTCTTGTATGAATGTATCCTAATTTTTAAAACAAGTTCTCAATTGATAAACAT